GACAGGACTGGGTGGAGCCCTCACTTTTGCCAGCTCTTCCCTTTAGGGAGTCTGGATGTAGCAGGTTCAGCTGCCCTGGATGGACAGCGAACTGTTGAGATAGGGGATTAAGGCATTGAACAAAATCACAGTAGGGGATGGTGGTTGATAAAAATCCCACCATCTTATTTTACATCTAACACATATCATCCTGTTCTCTTGCTTTTTAAACCTTTATTCTAGAGAACAAATATTTAGGACTGGGAGTCATAAGATAAACCTTATAGTCTCAGGATGTTTACAGCTGTTTTACAGGTAGCAGCAGGATGACCCAACAGGAAGTGCTGTACCACATATTGTGGATTTAGTACATGTGAATGAATGGTTGCTGACATCCTTTCAAGAAAGCCACTTGTTTTCATAGCTTATCAGTGAGTTCACAGTCTGTCTGTTGCTGCAAGAGCAAAGTGATTAAAGCCTCACAAGACCTTTGTTCTAGTTCTGCCACCTTCATATTGATAAGCGCTCAGAGACCAAGCTCTGTAAAGCCTGTCTGGTTCCCGGGGCCAGAGTTTCTGTTTCCCTTTGTGTTGCTACAGAGCTCTGATCATACTGATCGGGGCAGTTTTGCACAACGTAGGTTGCCGGTGACTAGTGAATAATGAAATTATGGGTTGTGACCTTCATTTCATGGAAAAGGAAAAGATTGCCGAATAGGGTAGATTAGAAAATAACCTCAGTGTGCATCACACATAGGAAGAGTGTTGTTTCCTAAAACTTGGTTTCACTTAAATGTATGTTTGCATGTATTGGGTGGTAATGTAAAATACATTTCTTACTGCCGATCAAGGTAATGAAATTTTTTGAAAAACACTTCACTGTAGCATGAATCACATTACCATGTAATTATCAGTTTATAAATCTGTTCCATCCACTAGACCACACACCTCTTGAAAGAAGGAATCACATTTTACCTCTTAGTTCCTAATTCTTGGGTCAGATCTAACTGACACATTCCAGGTATTCAGCAAATGTTTGTGGAATGAATGAATGAATGAATGAATGAATGAATGTCTTTTACTTTCTTCGAACCTCACATTTCTTTTTCATAAATTGGCCTGTTACCCACAGGATCTGACAGTGTTCTGAAGATCAGTTGAGATCATGGATGTGAAAGTACTTTATATAAGCTGTATACGCATAATAAGGGTGATTGTCAGGCATAGTTTTTGTTATTGTTGTTAGGCACATAAACCTCAGGAACTCTTGAAATCTTAACTCCATGTTCTAAAGATGACATTTATCGCAGTGCTATTAATAGCACTGAGATGTCCCTTTTTAGGGATTGAGTTAGGAGACAATCTTGAAAAATTAGGTAAGCGCCTTTTTAAAACCTTTCTTTATTATGGAACATTTCAACATACAAAGTAGGCACAGTAAAAGACGCACTTCTGTGTACTTATCCCCGCCTTCCCCAAACAGCGACTCACAGCCAGTTTTGTTTCACCTTCATCTTCTCGTGCCTCCCCCTTCCCATGTTGCTGTGAAGCAAAGGTGTATTTCTTTTTCCTTCCCCTCTTCCTCACCCTCTTTCTCCTGCCCCTCCCCTGCCCCCTCTTTCTTTTTACTTTTTCAAGTATGTATAAATATTCTTAGCATTCTTTTAAAATACAGTCATAAGTACAAAGAAATGTATAATAGCTTGTTAGTTTAGACTGAAGTACTGTTGCTGTGTTGTGTGAGTGAGTTATTCTTTCATAGGAACTAGCAGGTAAACAAGATATTTGATTTCCCAAGATTTTCTTAGGATGGTGACCAACCACATTGCAAAACAGTGATCACATTCCAGAGTCGTAACTAGTTCTGTGGAGGCTCAGTTACACAATTACCAACTCTGTCATCTTCTACAGGGATGTGACCCTACAGAGAAGGAAGGAGTCTGAGGCATGACAGATCGCTTTTAAGCTTTTGGAATTGTTGGGTTTTTATTATCATGTAATAGCCCCGAAGCTTTTGACCTTTAGCTAGGCAATCCTGAGTATTCAACGGAGGGGTTTCAAATACTGTAAAGCTGTAATAAACTCTGCTTTAAGGCTATAGCCCAGGGTTGTCACATGTAACTCAGAAGTCAGAATCCACTGAGAAGAAAAGAATTTTCAAAGCACAGTAACTAAGAATCATTTATGTGATTAAGGTTTAGTGATCTTTCTTGGTTTTCACCATTTTGTGATTTGGGCCTTAATATAACATACATACAAATAATTTTAAACCAAAACATGTTTAATTCTGTCAGATATTTTATTTATGTAGAATTATTTTTCCCTTAAAGTCAAATGTGGAATTTATTTTGGTTTTTAACAAAATATTGCTATGTTTTGCCCACGGCTATCATTGAATAGTCAGTAACTTTGCACGTTTCAATTGTTTTAAGCTTTTTATGCTTTCCTGAAAATCTTCTTCCAAAGTAAAATGAATATAAATGCACTTTTATTTTGCAATATTTGAAGACGTATTTGTAATCCATGATTGCCCCATCCCCCCACGTGGGGAGAGGCCTGTGGCTCCAGAGAGAGATGGGGAAGGTGAGGCTCACAGGGTCTGAGTGTCACTGCTCCAAAAATGTCACGGATCACAGATCTAGGTCAGTTTCTAGAGGCCGAGAACATCATCATTCCTGCAGCCTCCCCAGTGGAAACCTAGAAATCTTCATCTTTTCCTCTTTCATTCCCTGCATCCAATAAATAGGTCCTATTGATTATTTATTTAGAAAAATCTTGTGGTTTTAGCTTTTCCACTCCCGTGGCCAGGGCCAGTCGTGATCTTTATCAGCACATCCCTGAACCATCATAGCAGTTGAGAAGAAATAAACTCATGCATTGTGACCATGACGTTTTCTGTACATTGAATCCCTGCAGCAGTCCCGAGAGGTAGGAAATCACCTGTGTTTTTCAGATTGCAACAAAAACTGGTCAAGTTATTGCCAAGGAATCGCCTTGCCCAGGGTCTTTCTTCCCTTGTAATGCATTCTATACAAGAACACCAAGATAATCTCCCTAAAATGTAATTTTTAACATAATAACTTTCTTCAAACCCATAATTATTAAGCACTTTGCAAATTACCAGGGATTTTTGACGTTTGATCTCATTCTGCACAAACTACTCCATGAGGTTAATATTATCTCATCTTGCGCTCTTGTACAGTAACCTGGAATGACTTCTATTTCCCATCAAACCAATGATTAACTCTTACTATTGATGACATTCCACGTTTCAGGCTGTGGCTCTGTTTTGTCTGTTTAATCATCTCTCTCAGTGTCAGCTGGAGTTCGCTTCCTAATGGCTCTCTTCTCATTTCTTCAGTGAGGTCCGCTCAAAACAAAACCCTCCTCCATGTCACCCACCTTCCCCCACCCTTTCTCTCGCTTAAACCCTTCCAGCCCTACAGCGCCCTTTCCAAGTTATACCTTTTCGAAGAAGCCTTCCCTAATAATTTCTGTCTCCCTGTCTGTTTTTTCTTCTTGATTTCCTTTGTCAGGTATGTTTGCCCTTGAATATAATTTGAAAATTTCCCCCAACTCTAAAATTAATATATGCATCGTATAAAAATATTCCATAGGATACTTGAAAGCGAAAAGGTAACTTCTGGCTTCCCAATTCCTAGTCCGTAGAGGTAACCACTATTGTGTGTCTTTGTCGCTCTATTTCTGTGCACAAACAAGCAGATGCATGGGCACACATATACATACACACACACCTGCGTACACGCATGGGAAATCTATAGATACATATTTTATATACAGACACCATCCTACAACTTCCTTTTTTCACTTGACAGTGTATCTTGGAAATTTTCCCGTGTCAATAAATAGAAGTGATTTCATTGAAACATGTCTCAGTAATGCTTCAAATTGTTTCATGTCCAATTATTTTATGCATATTCATCTTATCTTCCAGCACCAAAAAGATAAATAAATAAAGAAGCGAGAGTACTTACATATTCTTTCTCTTTTCCATCCCTTTATTCTTTACTTTTTCTGCATTTACTGCATATTTCACTATTTGTGCTGTGGGAAATCGAAGAGGTTTGCCTCTCATAAGCCCTATGGAGTTAGAATCTAGTGAGGAAAACCTATATTTACACATATAACTGTAACACAAGGAAGAAATTGAGAAGTGACACAGTGTTCTGTTACTGAAAAAATGGCCGGTTAGGTTATTTAAACAATCTTCTTGCTGAAAATAATTGAAACTGTTAAATATGTAAAAGAAGACAGCCTCAGAGCAGCAAAGGGCTGAAAAAATAAGGAATTAAAAGCCAAAATCTAAGAGGAAAGTCAGAGTTTCGGGAGGCTTAGAGCTGGACGCTCCCTTTGCCCTGAGGGCACTTGCAGATCCAGGGAAATTTGAACTTTGCCTGTCTCATGGGTAGTAAAACTGTACAGAAAGCTGGGAAATGATTAACATAAAATTCAGAATAATGATTTTGGAGGGGGTGGGTGGGTACAAGGAGTTTCTGGGGTATTCAGAATGTTGTATTTATTGACCGAGTAGTAGCTATACAGGGTAATTTATTTTCTAAACTGAGCATATTTATTTTATGCATTTTTCTATATACATGTTATAATGTACAACAAATAATCCAATGTAAAAGAACAAGTTACAAGATAGTATGTATAGTATGAATCCACATATGTGTATGTTACATAAATGGGTGTATGAATTATATAAATGAGATGTATAATGTGTAAATTTTACACATTGATATAATAAATATATAAATTGTGTGTGTGTGTGTGTGTGTGTGTGTGTGTTTCATATACAGAGAAAAAGGTCTGAAAAAGCATTTACCAAACTACTGAGGGCAACCTTGACAGGTAGAACAGGAATAGGAAGTAGCAAGGAAGGAACTTATAATTTGTGCTTTACCATTGTCATTAATTTTTTATAATAATCATCGCTGTTATTTAGTATATTTTAAAAATCAGATTTTAAAAAAAGATGACTTCTGTCTCTGCCCCTAGATTTCAAAGCATTCCCTCCAACATGCTCCATACCACTTGGCACAGCACCTTTAAAAAAAAAAGCACATCTTGTTCCTTTGCTAGATTGTGAGCTCTTACAGGGAACAAAACAGTGTCACGTGTGTCTTTATATTTCTTGTGTCCAGTAAACGCTGGTACGTAGTAACAGGTTTATAAATACTAGTGAAAACTGAAGGAATGAATGTACCTTAAGAACACACCTAGGACTGGAGGCATCCAGTAGATTCAACATGTCCTTAGAGGGCCTTGTTGTTCTTCTGAGTATTGTTCTGTACCTGGCACAGCAGTGGGCACAGTGATACAGGCTGATTTGCATTTGACCGACACTTTGTGGAATCTGTGAGCAAACGTGGAGTCCAACATGTGGTGCCCTTCCGGATCCCAGAAAGCAGGAAAAGGGAGCTACTCTCTGAAAATTAAACTAAGAAATGAACACCTAACGGATGAAAGCCAAGAGAGGCGATGTGATCTTAAGAGACATGATGACTCCTTGGGCAGTAAGATTTGACCATCACCTCACTGAGGGTATCGACACCTTAAAAACACATAAATATAAATTCTACCTTAGAGGAGGATTTCCTCCGTCTCCAAAACAGAGCAAAAGGAAAGCTGTTAATGTAATTGTCGTGAGATCTCGCGGAGCACTGCCTGACCGTAGGACCTGCCCGGTCGCGGCCGGCATCCCAGCTGCCCTGGCAGGCGGACAGCCCCGTTGCAGGGAGCTGCTGAGCCAGCCCCATGCTGTTTTGCACCGGAATCCTGTGCCATGCACTCCACTTGCCCCGCTCCCGTGCTCACCACCATGCTTCCCTCTGGTAATCGGCCTTCCCCAAGAGGGAATTCACTGTCAGGCTGATACAGACTGATGACGTTCAGTGTGCCCGATTCTTCTGTTGTTCACTGTAAATAATAAAGTTGCTTTCTTGTTTTGTTTTTTATACATCGGTGTCTTGTGAGTTTTGTGAGCATGAGTCTGCCTTCCTGGGTCCGGTCAATGAGGTCGGGTATGAGAGTCTGCAAGGCTCATCGAGTAAACACTACCTTGTGGGCTTCCGTTGGAGTGGCCAGCTGGGTTTTCCAGGTGATGCCCATCCGTGTCGTGTTGCTCCACATCTCCTTTCCATTCCACACTTCACTAGACTAATTCTTCCCAGACGCACCATGTTAAGAACATCGTGATAATGTGCACACTTCGGTTAGAGAGCACCAAATAATATTAGCTCAGTGACAATAGATCCTTTTCCTCTGGGTGAGTATTATTTGTTTGGATTTGCACATGTCATACCTGTGTGGATGAATGGAATATATATATAAAGGTAGAGACCCCATGACAGGGACCTCCAAAAATTCATTTCCAGCTCTGCCTTCGCTGCCTCTTCTGGCTTCCGTTCTGCCTCTCATCTCATTTCAGCATCAGTCCTGGCGTCATGCTCACTCACTTCCTAACGTGGGTCTCTCTTGCAGCAGGGAACCCTAAAGAAGATGGAAGACACAGTGAGCTCGACCCGATTAAGGATAAGGATGCGAGTAGAGCAGGCAATGAACGAGGTTATAGAATTTTTTTCTTCCTTTTTCATCTTTCTCTCTTTCCTCAGAACAGTCCGAGTCGCATTTGAAAGGGTTTCAGACCCTGCACACTGCTATGGAAAGAAGAGAGCACAGGTTTCTCAGTGACATGTTCAGCTTATCTATGGATATAACAGGACTTAAACCAGATTTCACTAAGTCAGTAATGTCAATTTCTAGTAAAAAAAAAATATCACAGTAGATAACGGGGCAAAACCCAGCACACCTCTTAAGTGAATCCTGGAATTTTTTTAAAAAAATTAACAGTTGCATCAATAAGTAGACTGGGGTGGGGCTTTGTGAATTAGCAGTTTTTTCTCCCTTCTCTCCTGTTCTGCCCCTTTCACTCTGACTTCCAGCCAGAATAACTAATCATTGAATTTCGCTTTAAATTTATCAGAAATTTACCCAGAGCCAGTGTCAGTTGTCATTATGATTTAAAATAATATATCTTTCATTCGCAGATGAGGACCTCAAAAATTTCAGATAGGATAGGTAAATACAGAATCTTGAAAAGACATTTATTTTTTGTAGAAACTTGGTTCCTAAAAACTATTGTTTTGACAATTTTGTTCATTTATACAATTGGAGTTCTGCAGCAAAATAAGACCCTGTTGGATTATAAGTGTGTATAATATATTCTTGAGGCTCCTATCACAGTACATGGCTACCGAGCAGCTCTGTGTATTGATGTTCAATGACATGGGTCTGAATTGCTATATATAGTAGGTAGCTGTGGACCACTCTTGATTATTTAAATAGTCGAGTGACTTCTTTAGGCGTTTCGACCAAATTCACCATCCTCTCTGGTTTTCATTTTCTTTGGGTGAAAGACGATGCTTAGGAGATCAGGGACCATTTCTCATCCCTGTGTGAGCGGGGTTTGTTTCACAGCCAGATGTTCTACATCTTAGAAGTGAGATCAGTAGCTACACTGGGCTCTGCAATGATGGAAGTTAGACCAGGTAGCATCGAAACACCCCAAATCAAGGCCTATCACGACTTCTGAAGTACTTGTCCTTCCTTAATGGTTAGTAACAGCCTCTTATGATGCAAAAGTTAGCAGTTCCTGGAGCAAACCAGGCAGTATAGTATGTTATATGCTGATATGAGGAATTACCAAAAAAGGAAACAATATTCTCTTCCTTCATTAAATGGTTAGTTAATGGGGAGAGGATAAACATGGTCAACACTTATTTTTTAAAAAAAAAACAACTTACAACTTTCAAAACTACTTATATTTTTCTTACACACATTTTCTTCATTTTACCAAAGTGCATGGTATATTGTCAGGTTCCTGCAGTTTAGGAAGTCCATATAAAAACAAACTCCAAATAAAGACAGAGTAGAGTGAGCTAAAGAAAATGCTCACCTGAAAAGTAACGAGCGTTTGACCTGCTCCTTTCCCTGCACCTGCCTTCTTTTTTCTTCTCTTCCCCTCTGTTGGAAGTCAGAGTCTAGACAGGGATTCACGGGCCAGAACTGAAAAGACAACTAGACTGGTGGAACCCTGTATAAAATGGTAGAGTAGACTGAAGTTCCTTTTCTTTCTGTTCTGCCTTCCTAAATTCTTTTTCTGGCATCCGCTGTTTTCCTTCAGCCTTCCTGCAGCCCTCTAATTCCTCTGAGTCTTGTCCCTTTTCAGTAGAAGAAGGCTTACCATAAGCTTGTTATTATTAAGTCAATCCTCATGTGTGTCTGTGTGTTGTGTGTGTATATCTACAATTTGATTTTGTTAGTTTGTAATACAATTTAGAATACTCCTTTCTAACCAAATAAACTCCAACAGTAATATTTCTTAAACCTTTAGGATTATAAATTCTAAGACAGTCTGAAAATTACCCTCAAAAATGTAGATACACATAAAATGTTGGGTACCATTTCATGGTGTTCATGCACTCTTAGTTCCTCTTTATGGAGCTGGACTGGCTTCAGAATCCCTGTCCCATGATGGAATTCTAAAGTTGTCTACTTTTGTGGTCACTGGTGAAATTTGAAAATATATTCATTTACCCGATATTCACTGAATGCCTACTCTGTGCCAGGAACTGTGCAGGGCACTGGGTAGGAAGGACAGTGGCCCCACCCATCAAAATTTACAACACAGTTGAAGAGTCAGACAAGTAAACAGACAATTACAATACAGAATAGATACAATAGTAGGGGAAGTACAGGATACTTTGCAGAGCACGTAAGATGAGTGTTTAATTCATCTCTGGGGCATCAAGAAATTCTCCTTAGAATGCCTGAATCACCCTTACAGGTAGAAGGAATGCTATGTCCAAAGTCAAGAGAGTTATAAACTTGTGTGTTATGTTGAGAAATTCAGGCCTTACGTTGAGGGTTGATAAGAACTGATGTGTAACTGAAAGAGAGAACCCTGACTGTAGCATGGAGAATGGATTGGGGAAAGCAGGACTGGAGGCTGGGAGACTTTGGTAGTAAGCCTGTTAGATGATACGAGTGAATAATAGTGATTTTAAACTAAAGTACTGACGGTGTGGATAAAAAGAGAATGAGTTGAAAGGATGAGAGTATGTGTTGGAATGCACAGAATTTAGTGACTGACTGAATTCATTCCTTCAAAAAATACTTATTATGCTGCTGTGTTATACACTCTGTTAGATGTGGTGGTGATCTAGAGAGATGCCATCTTTGTCCTCAAGTCTAGTGATGATGACTCCCAGCTTCTGGATCAGTGGATGGTGGTGCCATCCACCAGAGACAAAATAGGCATGTGTCTCAGACCAAAGGTCCCTGGGCAGAAGAAGTGCTTCTTTAAGGTATCAATACCCCTCCTGAGATTTCAGAATGTCCTTGATGTCAAATGAGAGATGTTATTGATGTGAGAGTGTTTCTGTATAAACAACATTTGGGGAGGGGCTTCAGAACCACTGATATAGATGACAGTTGGAGCCAGGAAGTAGATGAGATTACCCGGGAAGAGTATATGGAAGGAGAGAAGAGGAGGGCTGAGGATTAGACATGGCAAGACCATGGAGAATTGAGAGGAACCTGATGAGAAAGCCAGGCGTCTGTAAAGGACAGCAAGCATGTTCCAAGATGCAGCCAGTGGAACAGATGGGAGGCTTAGCAGTATGTATGGCAGCAACAGTCAACTTCAGGATGTACTGCATAGGCTTCTGGTTCAAGATGATAACCTGAGCTTACGTATGAAACTTCACACGTTCACCACTACCTTCACTGAAAGGAGACCTGAATATTCACATCAAAGGGCTCAGGGGTGGCCAACAAAATATAATGAAGACATTTTATGCTATGTGAATTATCTCTCAATAAAGCTGTTATTAAATGAAGAGAATAATAATTTTGAAAAATTCACTCTTAAACATATTCTAACAAAACTTATATTTCAAAAATGCATAAACTCTAAGCACGCATATGTGGGGATGGGGTAGGATACAGCGAAGGAGATGTTATCCACAAAAGGAGAATAAATTTGTATCCAGTCACCTCATAGCACACTGTATGTGAAGAGCAATGGTGCATCACCTAACATTAGAGGGGAAAAGGTTGTTATTCAAAATTCAATTAGCTGAGGCATCTTTTCTTGAAAGGGCAACAAAAAGATCATCGTGACATTGAATGACTCGCAATATATCCTACCCTTTTACCCGTCCTGAAAAAAAAACTATGCCATGACATGCTAGAGCCAAACAATTAGTCAAAATAAAGAACCCGATGAAGGGAAGAAGTTATAAGAGTATTTTTTTAAGTGGTATGGAATTATTGAGTCGTTGGAAAAGCCATGACATAGTTTCCCTATGTTTTTCATTGCAAAAATGCGTCATGACTTTTTCGACAACCCAATAATTGTGAACACCCGTTGTTAATATAGTAGTAAGTCATAATGCTAATGATAAATGATTCTTCAACAAAGAATAATAGAACAGGCTAATAGTAGCAGGGATTTGCAGTTGTGAAGTGTTTCAACAATTTGACAGGCAGAAGGAAGATGGCAGAGTGCAAGGGAGACTCAAAACAGGCTCTTTTATTATTGACAGCAATAAAGAAAATACAGGAGAAAGAAAGTTTAAAGTTAAGCAGTGCTAGTGTAAAAATAGGATGAATAACTTCCTAATCAGTTGGCTAAGAGTGGGCATGGGAGAACTACTTAATCAATATGGCTAAGGGGAGGATGGAGAAAACATTTTGGATGCCTAAAAACAGTGCTGAATAGTTCAGAATTAAAACTGGACGTATTTATTACCACCCAGTGGCTACCTTACTCATTTAAAAGACAAGGATTCAAATTGATTAAAAAAAACAACAACCATAATATGATCTAGGGGCATACCTTTAAAAAAAGAAAATATATAAGCATAGAATACAGAGGGAGTTTTTTAAAAAATATATTTGAAGAGAGTGATTTTTAACTCTATGACAATATATTCAACCTATAAAATGAATGACCAAAAATGAATTTTAAAAAATAACTAATAGTAGGGCCGGCCGAGTGGCTCAGTTGGTTAAGAGCTCGCTCAAGAGTTTGAGTTCTGAACAACAGCGGTTCGAGTCCAGCCCGAGTTGAGCAGCCGCTGAGCTGCCAACAGGTAGCAGGATGGCTCAGCTAAAAAAAAAACCAAAAACCTAATAGTGACTCAAAATGCCTAAAACTGTGAATGACATTGACAAAAATAGGATTAAAAGAAAAATTTCTACCTCCCAAAAAGTGCAAATTCTAAACATATTTATTGTCAAATTCTGTCAAATCTTAAAGGAACAGAAATTTCTTGTGCTGTCTAATCTATTTCAAAGCATGAAAATATACGGAAAATCTCCCAGTTTATTTTATGAAGCTAGGATGACTATGACCAAGTTCTCCATATTTTTTCTTTTTCTTAAACATTAAGAACACTTCACTTAAAATTACATGCACAAAATCTTAAATCAATTATTAGCAAAGGAAATCTGGCAACATATTGAAAGAATCATAAATATGATCAGTTTAGATTTGTTTT